CCCGTCTTGGGTGTCCCTTCACGGTTTCACTCATGACATCATTGAGGTGCTCAAGCTCCAGCGCCCCGACAAGGCGGTGATCCTTTGCTGGAGGACAATAAATGATACGTTGTATTATTTCTTAAGTCAATAGCCAAAGTAGCATGAAAGTATGGATTGTTTGAAGTAGAGTGAGAGTAAATCAGAACTTTTAAACTGGCATGGATTCAGTTTTGGCCACGGGTCTACTCCAACTTGGAAAAGGTCTATACAGGGCAGTGAATGAGATTATACAATGCACTCTGCTTTTGGATCTTACTCTGGCTCTATTCCTCCATCTACACATCGGAAAACATAAATGGACTGATTAATAAACACAGCTGATGTGAGACATGGGACTAGGTCCCAGAAAGGAGAGTGAGGTCCTGTCTACAAAGGATTTTTTTAATTTGGAAAGCTACTGACAGAATTTAAGCAAAGGGGGGAAAAGGAAAAAAAATAATTTGGATCTTCTTATATAGTCACTCTTCATTGTAGCCATTTAGTTCACTTAAATGATTTGTGCACCCTTTACAAGAATTGGAAAGGAAACATTAAATTCTTTCCAGATGAAATCAACAAAACCCAACACAAGCACATGTGATTTGAGAATATAGGAATAGTTTCTGACACCTAAGCAACCAGCTTGAGGCACCTGTCCAGAACAAAATCCTCATCTCTGCCAAATGTCCTTTCAATACATTGACATTTGAGAATTTAACTTGCCAGCAAAACATCTCATTGAAAAGGGGCAATGTATTCAAACTACTGTTCTCCTCTTTGTTCATAGGATGAGGAGAATATGAACACAGTCTTACTTATTGGGAAACTGAAAATAATACCTTTCAAAGTGCAAAAGAGTTTCTGTGAGTTGTATCAACTGCACACATTACTTTGAATCATTGTTTTCAATTATTGAATCATTGTTTTATTGAATCATTGTTTTAAGGATTCAATTATTGAATCACTGTTTGAATTATTGTTTTAATATTTTAATGTATTGTTGAATGTTTTATGATGCTGGCATCGCATGGTGCTTCTGTGAGGCCACCCTGAGCGCCCCCCCCCCGGTGTGTGTGTGAGAAGGGCGGGGTATAAACATAGGAAATAAATAAAATAATATAAATTATGAAGAAAAATGTAACTTTGTTTTTACCTCTCTGACCCGCAAACCCACCTCTGTTCTAGAGAAATAGTTTACTGCAAATTGTATAAAGCAACTAAATAAACATTTTGGGAAAATATAGGATCAGGTACACCCTTTGCTCTCAGTAGGGTAGAGTCAGCATGATGTTGTGGTTTGAGCATTAGAGTAAGACTATAGGGACCAGGGTTTGAATCACCACTCAGCCCTAAAAACCCATTGAGTAATCTTGGACAAGGCTCACTCTTTCACCTACAAGGGGAAAGCCATGAAAATCCCATGATAGGTTTGACTTGAGGTTGCCATAGTCAGAAATGTGGTTCTGTTCTAATATAGTTCAGGTTACCTGAGAAGCAAAATGAATGCATATCACAGTAGTCAAATATAGTTCAGGTTACCTGAGAAGCAAAATGAATACATATCACAGTAGTCAAAGAATGGCAAAATATATTCAAACAAGTTCACAATTACTGGCTCAAGAGAACTGTAGGACGAAATTAAGAAAATATTCTGAAAGTACAGGAAAGAAAACTTTGAAAACTATGTAACCATTGTATATATATATATCCAAAAACCTAAGTGTACTAAAAAGACAGATAATCATGATCATTGTGAAGAAAATATGTAGTCTAGTCTGGTCAGCAATGACTAGAACCCTAAAGGAATTTTTGAAGCTAATGGGAAAATGAACAAAAATATATTGGTGCACTCGCCTGCTGCCAAAGAACCAACAATCCAATTTGAATGGAACTGAGCTGTAGAAGCACAGTAGCTATATGGCATTCATCATTTCTCAGTAGACCCAGGAAACAATGAACAGCTGATTCAATAATTTTAGAAAGGTGTGAGTGGGAAGTGATAGGAGTCTCCATGTGGAGAGAAATTTGAGTCTCCTTGTGGAGAGAAAAGGTGGGGTATAAATAAACATAATAACAACAATGTAATAGGAAGGCAACAGAAATATGGACATTTTAGCTGAAAATAAATGATATTCTGCTAAATTATACTTGGATCAGAAATAAGCAAGAACAACCTGTTCGAAGTACAGTAAAGAATTCTAAAAGAAAATCACAATGCTCCTTTTTAAACTTTCTAATATTTGGATGACCTTTCTGTGGTATACATGGGAAACTACTTTTCCAGGATTTCCCCTTTATTCCTACTCCCTTTTTCAGATCATCCTTGCAGATAGGAATAACATCAAAGAATTGTGGCTGATGTACAGCAGTGCTTTTCTATGTAGTGATACATGGCCTGGCATCAATCCCCATGCTATTGGCTGCTGGTTCATGCAGTATTACCAGGAAAGAAAGGAACAGTTGTAGTCAATGGGCACAAATGTTACACTGGTGGAAAACCCCAGTAAATCTTCCACATCAGATAGATTAAGAAGCATAAACCTTAGATGTAAACCTGCTGCAATTTCTGTTATCACATCATATCAGAAATCACATTTTTTTAAAGCTGTCCCACTGAAGATAGATATGGAGAGCAAGCATGGCCAAGCCTCCACACACCTCTGTGGAAGAAGATATGACAACAGTCTTTCATCAAATTTCAAGCTGCCACTGTGTATAAAAACAGTCGAAAGACAAAAATGTATGGTCAAACCTTGATCAAATTCCACAAGGAGTCACCTGATTTTAAAAACTATATGATACTTAAAAGATATGGTAAATATTGGCTAAAATAGATGAGTAACTCTAGCAAAAAGAGTTTACATGTCAGGTTTAGATGAGCCTGGTTTTGAATCAGTGCTCACACACAAGGTATAACAGAGATAAAGATCAAGTGCATGAAACAGAAAGGTACTGTTAATCTGTTGCAGGACATTTATAGAGTTATGGAACTGATGAAAGAAATGGGTCCATTCCACTAAATCATGTTACTGCATTTCCAGGAGCCACACCCTTCCTTTCCCAACAAAAGTGAGAAAATGCCATACTGCAATTCTAGTAAAAATACCTTATTGTGGGAAGTTAGAAAAGAACAAACAGACAAAAAGGAATTATTGTCCACCTAAAAAGCCAATGATTACTTTACTGCCTGAGTCTGATATTTCTGGGATTACTATTTTATCTATCTTAATGAGCTAGCTATAATTAAAAACTTTACGCACAGCAATATAAAAATGGCTAAGGCAGGTTTACAACCAGAAATTTAGTACATATTCTGATGTGACCTAGAAAATTTCCTTACAGTTCTCAAGACCAAATATGCTCCATAATCAAAGCAATCCAAACCTCAGCTAAGAATGAAAAGTGGACTGTTTCGAGTCTCCTCTTGATAAAGATGAAGAAATCTCAGATTTTTTTTAAAAAAACGGCAGAATGTAAGTCAAAAGCACCGGGATTGTGGCGCAGCTGGCTGAGTGTCAGCTGCATTAAGATCACTCTGACCAAAAGGTCATG